ATCGGCGACTGCAACAAATGAGCAGCTTCTTGGTAAAAAATATATGTCTGTAAAATTTCAGGTCGATATCTCGAAACCTTTGGGACTAGTTCGCGTATATACATATAGATAGACGAACATAGCTAAATCGACTGAGCTTGGCACGTTGATCATTTGTGTACAAATATATTTTGTAGGATCTTTGACATTTTGGTTGTTATAAATATCGTGGCAAACTTAATATACCCAGTTCAGAGTATAGTAAGAAGACTCTTGTAATATCTATCATAGATTTTGCCTTAGCAGGGCAATAGAGTGAAAAATTATAGGAATTGAGGAATGAGAAACTGAAGTCTGCTTAGATTAAGACTGAAGATATGTGGTGTCTAGCTAAGAAATAGGATTTTATAGTATATTTTGTAGCACATTGCTGAAACTACTGATATTGTAGGCACTTATCACCCTTTTGTGTTCAGATATATTGGAACGGTTATGACTTCTCTAAAATATATGTAAAAATCATACTCACAGTCCCTTAGTAAGATCATAGTATGTTTTGGTATACGGTATAGTCTCTTTGGTACCTAAATGCGACAAATTTTCATGCTTATGCATGAGATAAGTCTAGAGCTGTTTTAAATTTTCGTAAAATGTTAATTTTTTACCTTTTCGAGTGCTTGCTATTACTAAATAAACTATGAAGTATGCTTGTATGCAATATAATTTGAGTTGTTGGCATTGCATATGAAAAACATCCTTTAGAGTCATCTGAAAAGCTGCTCAATCGATACATATTTAGGTATTATGAGGGTAGCCATTTGAATTATCGACATGTTTTAACTTTTATTTCTTGGTATATATAATATTATTGGTTTAATCGATATGAATCTACTTCAAAAACGAACTCATTAGATAGCGCTGTTATCTCTATGTTTTACTGATCAGATGTTTTTAAATGAACTCAAGAGGCTCATCTGAAACATTAATAATGATTTTTGTATAATAATAATAAGTTACAAAAATATAGTATATAAATGTTCAATTTCAATTTCAATTTAGCTTCACAGCTTTTGTGAGTTGCAATCAGTTCGATATACCTATATTCTAGTTCAACCGTTCAACACTGCCACTTTTCGAAGTAATTTTTCCAAGCTGTCAGCAGTTTGTATAGTTTGAATATTTTTTCATATACAGAATAACGAAATATCAGATTAAAAAAAAGAAAGATATTTCTGCTTAAACAAAATTTCGCTTATCACGCAATACCAGAAAATGTTATTCATTAACATTCTCTGGCAATACTCTCTTGCTACCAACTCTTGCCTACACTTAGGCGCTGTTGAATTCAACATGGCTGGCGCTTTATGTTGGCAATGCCATGCGCTCTTTCAGTAACTCTCTCTTTCTGTTGATGCTTTTGAACGCAGTCAACGGCTAATGTTTGTCACTGCTGATATGACGCTTTGAAAAGGTAGCCGAGCTAAAGGGTATTTGGTTTAAAATTATATCTATTTAATATAGTTTCATATGTACATATTTTATTTAAAACTTTTAGTTGATTCTTTTACGTCAACTTGATAAAAAAACATATATCCAAAGTTGTTCAGTAAAAAGATACCAAACTTTAATTTAAGGCTAGATTATCTGATAATTCTTAATAGTGTTTGTCATGTTGTCTATATATATGAACATACATATAAACATATCTACATAGACATATATCGGTTATGTGGGCATGTGGACATTACTGAATTTTCAACGACTTTTCGTTTGTGTTTACTTCGCGCTTACTTTATTATTTGCTTTTTCTCTTATTTACCTTCAATACAATATTGAGAACGCGTGTGTGTGTTTGCGTGGTTTTTAGGTTCATGGATAAACCTGCTTACTTATGCAGGCAAACCTAAACTGAAATGGATATTTTCCTTTCAATTTCAATTTCAATTTCATGTTTACTTTGCCAATCGATAAAATCGCTAAAGGTACTTTAAATCTACAAAATCGTGCGTGTAATTTTAGCTTAAATCTCTAGAAATATATAATATTGCTAGAATGTTTGGGCACGTGATATGATATTATTTGACAAGGAGTCTATGTTATGATTTGTAATGTTTGTACATTTATCTTGAGTACATTTGAGCAAAAGATATTAAAAATGAAATAGGGTTGATAGTAATGATCTTACACATAATTGTAATAAAAAGAAAAACAAAATTTAATTTAATAAATAATAGTTGGCGTTTATCCCTTTAAATATTTTTCTTTATGTTATTTAAGGTTTAAGCTATACATACATTAATGTGAGGAACACACAAAGAAATTCTAGGCATCGAAGGTTTGTGCCTGACCATTTACCATAGTAATATATAATATATATATTTTATAACATAATAAACTACTGATTTCAGCGAACATAAAGCCTACTGACTTTTTAAAAACTCCATAATTTTAATTTGTGAATTCTTTATTGAACATTAGGTTTATTTTTTGATTTTAAGTCGAAATAGAGTTTCCTAGGAAAATTTTTTTTCGCACGAGATAAAATTAAAAGCCCAGGAATTTGAATATTTGAATTTTTCACATACATTTTGAGGTTATATGAAAAAGGCGTTAATACAAGAGTTGTATAATTTTTCACCTTTGTTGTATAACTTTTTTCTATAGGACTCGTAGTTTTGTCGAAAATTAAGTTAAACCATTTTTAGTACTTAAAAATTCAATCACGCCCCTCACCTTTCATCTTGATGACCTTAGCTAAATATTAGTTTTGGATCTTATCGAAAACTTTTCGAAAGAGAGTTTGAAACTTTTGAAGAAATTTACTGGTAAAATTCGGACGGTTTGCATTAGTAATAGAGTAGAACACTAAACTTTTTTTGATTTAAGAGAGCTAATGAAAGCGTTAAAGCAATGCAGACTACTTTAAGTGAGAGCCAATTGAATAGTAAATATTGAACAGAATGCGGTAGTACTTTTAGCTTAGTGAAAAGTTCGAAAGAACCTTTTATTAAAGGGTTAGTTTTCGAATGCAAACAACACCATAAAACATTAACTCCATCCTCGCACACGCTATTCACTGATTTCATCGGCACCTGTGTAGGAATCCCTCTCTTACATTTCTTAGTGGCCTACACAAAGTAATTAGCTGATATCATACTGCCTCTCTGTTGTTGTTGTTGTACGGGCATATTTCCGCGAATTGCCATTAATGTCAAGCAGCCGTACAGCGGCTACTTATGTACGTAATGGTGGGTGAGTGTGCTGCCGTACCATCCTTTGCAGGCTTAGATATTAACAGCTGCCAATTCGCCAGAGGCGTGTACACGGCGCACGAGCATCGCAAAGCGTTTAAGGGCTTCTTTTAATTATTGTCTTCATTAAAACGCTATAGGTGCTAAAGTGATTTCCTGCATTTTAGATGTGGGTTTGTGGCATTTTACGAGTATTCCATGGCATCGGAGCTAACACTCAGTTGTCGTTTTCGCTGTTCTTGCTTTATTATAGCATTCGTCGAGCATTACGGAGCAGAGAATGATACTTAAAAGTAGCGGCATATTTCAACGTAAACGCTGTCTCATTAGCGATATCGGCGGGGTAAATAGGGTGGTTCAATAATGAAATAAAATTAATAAAAAGAAATTAAAGAAAGTAAAATAAAAAAACAATAAATCAAAAATAAAAAATTAAAAAACCTTAAAAAAAAATTAAACAAAAGTAAAATAGAATAATAAAATAAAATAAAACTGAATTAATTTTAAATAAAAAATACGTAAAATAAAAAATAAAATAAATAATTTTATTAAAATAAAAAAAAAATAAATAAATAAAATTAAATAAAAAAAATAAAAAATTAAATAATATAAAATAAAATATAATATAATAAAGTAAAATAAAATAAAATAAATAATTAAATAAAAAATTTCTTTAAAATAAGAAATAAGTAAAATAAAAATAATAAAATAAAATGATATGAAATACAAAATAAAATTTGCTTAAATTAACTTAAGTAAAATTAATATTTCTCAGCACCACCGTGTATAGCTAGTGCCTCCCACATTTCTCGAGCGCGTTAATCGCTTTTCGCCATTTCTTTCATGAATTTATCGTTTCATGTCTTTTTTGTGTACGCCTGCTGACCAACAACAACAACAGATAACCACAACAAGTACTGTTATGTATTTGTATAACCACATCTGTCCCGCAACAACTTATTTCAAAGGATTTAGAATCCCATGCACACACTTACAAACGCAAACATTTCCATTAAAATTCAACACAGCTTGGCCAAAACATGAAAACAACAACTGTGAGGGGGTGGAAATTATTAAATATATTAAAAGCTAATCAATTCGAGTAAATAAGAGGAAGAGAATTTCTTGTACACCAACTGATGATAGTGATCACTGGAATACCAGCGGTGGAAATTTGAGAAATTTTAAAATAATTATACATATTTTTTATTTAAAAAAAAAAAAAAAAATATTGTGGAAAAATATTACTTAAAAATTTTTTGTTTAGCAAAGAACTTGTGCATGCATATTTTAAAAAATGTATGTTGTTTGTGAAGAATATAAGAATTGTATGATAGGACGATTGTTTAAAGTATATTCTGTTGGGTATAAAATGTGGAATGTTTCAAAAAGGAATTGGTATGTTAAAGGCCACGCCTAGTGTGAGATTTAAGAAGGAAAAAGTCTATAAATTATATAGTCTATAGCTTTAAAAATACCATAACATAATTTTAAAGTAATTTTTCACTATCAAAATTTTTCAGCATGATTGTATAGAGCTCTCCATACAATGACTTATGAGCCTTTTGATCTGATCAAAAATCGAATTTTGGCATGACAAAATCAACCGAAATTCTGGCTTAAATTTAACTTTTTTTAAACACACCACCAGCTTGTCAATTTTTAATTTTTTTACATTTACTGTCAATATCTTCTAGTAGAGAATTTGTTTAGGCTTTATTCTTAAAAATTGTTTTAAATTATTTTCGAATTTTTATAACAATTAGTACAATAATTTTTGTTTAATTTAAAAAGTCCGCCTTTATATTAGTTTTGCTCACTAGATGTGTCCTTTAAATTCAACTGGGCGCTTAGATGTAGACAAAATTTTATTACTTGATATTTTCATCATTAAATGTTGCCTACATTTAGGATGAATTAGAGGAGTAAAAGCCCGATTTTATTTATCTTACGTATAATCCTTTAAGCTGAAAATAACATCTGAAATAACAAAAAACTTGTTAGACATTTCTTTTGGTATACAAGTTTTTCATCTCAGAGCCTTCTGAAAATAACTTTATGTTTGAATATTGTTTTTCATCTTCAGCATGTATTTGCGTGCATTTTATCTTTTTAAAGTGAACTTTTATTACAAAATGTCGACTTCTCGGCCAGTCTTTAAAGTAACATTTTTCAAGAGAATCTCGACGCGCGACAGGGATTCTGGGAGGTCTTTGCATTTGAAACAAATTAAATAACGGGATATTTATATACATAAGTTATGCTAGCGAAGTGTCTATTTGATAAAAGGTTTGTTGTTTTGGTTCGATGTTTTGAAAATCCTAGACTGGCCTAATCCCTTTAGATTTGAACTAACCTGTGGTATGGAAAATCAAATTATCGTTATCGTTAAAATATGTTCGACAAGGGTCTTACTCGAAACCCTTTTTTAAATTAATTGAAAGAAATTTGGTGTATTTAAAAGGGATTAGGATATTACAAAACATTTATTTTTATTTTAGCATAACATTAATAGAATATATTTTGCATATTTTACTCCTACTGGTAAATAAATAAATAATTAAGAAGATTATCGTAAGCATAGCTTGCAAATAGTAAGATATTGTGGCAAAATATGTATATATCTTCATATTTTCAAATTGTCTAGTTTTAAATTTAATTTTAATGTTTTCAAATGTTTTTAATTGACTATACATTAAGTTTTCACACAATCCATTTAATCTGTGTTATATATTATATACATGTACGAATAACACATATTTCATTTATTCCATTTCATTTTATATTTGCTCATTCATATTTTTTTTCTGTATACAAATGCATGTTAAAATACATAAAAGCTCTACAGTAACTAAATTAAGTTGAGTAATTCCGTAAACTTGCCACAACAGCACTTCCAGTGTCATTCACTTGCGACACACTTTAACAATTATAAATTACACTTCAAAATCAGTGCAAAGAAATTCATCACAAAAATGTACACACAATTGCAATTTCATTTTTACTTTACTATTTATTTGATGATGTTGTTGTTGTTGTTGCAAATGTATGCATGCCATTGTGTTTGTAGTGCAATTTATGCTTTTTTCGCCAGCCACTTAATTCTTTTGTAGCATACTTTTGAGCGCACATTGCGCGCACACAAAACAAGAGCGAAAGCATAAACGGCTTTATTTGCGTGTGTGTGTTTGTGTGTATGTGTGCGCTCAAGCAGCGGAGAGTATGATTGGCAAGCGACAGGCTGCGAAGTAGCTAAACCATCAGCACTACTAGATCTTGTGCTTTTAAGTAAGTGTGTGAGTGTATGTGTGTGTTCTTGTATGCATGTGTGTGTGTGTGCGCGCTGCATTTTAATGGACTCAACCAGCATATTAAGGCATCATTCATGCTGCTTTCATGCAATTCACTTACTCCTTTCACATTCAGTGACTGAAGTGGCCGAAATGGCTCTTTTATGTTTGTCAGCCGGCTAGCGGGGGGTGGTGCGACTGCCATTTGTAGTGTCTAAACTTGTCCAGCGTGCATGTGTGCGATTGTTTGTGCCTCGTTGTTGTGCAGCACGGAAATCGCATAATGTTTGTTTTAGTTAGTTAGTTGAGCGCTTGTTGCGTATATCAGCAGATTTCCACTTCCTTGCAGTTCACTTCCTCTCTCTTTCTCTCTCTCTCTTGACTTGGCTTTCACCAGCAGCAACGTTTCCTATGCATTTGCTTTCCTTATTGCTTTCATAATTGCGTTCGTTTTTGGTTTTGTTGTTTTTTTTTTTTGGTTCGCTCGTATATCCCTTTTGTTGTTGTTGTATGCTCTTCCTCAGTCGTTTGCACTTAAAAAGTATTTGTAATGAATGTAGTGTTGTTTGGCTGGTCCCTTCGTTGTTCGCGTTTGCTACTTGTTCACTTGAGTTTGGCGTTAGCGTCTGTTTTATGTCAGAAATTTTTTTTTCAGAGTGCAGTTTATTTAACTGAATTTTATTTATTGTTTTTGTTTGTTAATACTAGTTGCATTCATAGCCGTTTTTAAGTAAAGAATTTCCGCATTGCAAACTTTTATTTATTTATATGTTTTTTGTCTTTCACCAAATGTAGTTTTGTGTGCTAATCCTTTTTGGTATTATCTACGAAACCAAAAGTTACAGGGAAACATTGTTTTTAGTACAACATCACAATTATAATATTATTGCAAAGGTATATCCTTTTAAAGAACGTCTGTTGTGTCACAACCAGGGTTGCGAATTTTTAATTTAAAAATTTTGGATTACAAATTAAATTTTTATTGAATGCGTAAAAATTTTAATTTTAAAGCCAACTCTTTTTTTAATTCTTAATTATGTACTTCAGATCAAAATTTTAAATTTTTAATTAAAACATTTTGGATTCAAAATTAAATTTTTATTTTTTAATTTAAGATGGTTGAGACTAAAAATTGAAAATATTATTTTTAATTTGAACAAACGCGAAAAAATTTTAATATACTTTAGATGAAAATTTTTATTTTTTATTTTTCAATTCAGTAGTTACTGCTAAAAATTAATTATTAATTCGGTTTTGGGGATTACAATTTTTTTTATAGTTTTTTTAAGTTGGAATTTCAAAACAAAAAAATTTAATTGAAATATAATTTTAATTTCGATTTTTTTAAATATTTTAATTGGTTTTGTTTGGTATTTCAAAACAAAACAAAATTTTATTGAACTGATAATTCAATTTTTTTATTTAATGCATTATTTGAATCATAGTCCATGAATTTATATCCATGCTTTATTATTATTATTTTACTACATTTAATTAGGTCAGTGCTTAATTGAAATCACGAATCCTTCAACAAATCTGGAAATGTGTACTAAGATGGTCTGTTTAAAATTTATCCTTGGCAGTTTTCAGTGCATCTCTCAAAATCTTACAGACACTAGTCTAATACCTTTTTTAGCAAGTTAAAATGCGAAAGTATTAGGCTCACCGCTTCATTAGTGAACTAATTTATAGTGGATCTCTCTCTGAGTATCGTATTTGTGGGTTAAAACTCCCCCAGAAAATGTCTATAGGTCTATAAGTAAGGGATTACTTTCTGTATGGGATCTGCTAGTAAAATCCTTCAAATATACCCAATCAACCGCAAAATCTGTAAATATCGGGGTCATGCGGATTCCTGAGCGACCATATACAATATATATAATATTTTTTTTTCAAAGTTCCCAGGTTTCTTGCGATTTCTCTTCAACTTGCCGCCTCCACGTATTGGCTGATTTGCCTCGTCTGTAGCCCTATTAAGGCTTCTAGTTCTTGTGATATATTCTTGGTGCTTACGCAACGTGTGGTCGATCCATTTCCATTTACGGCGACGGATTTCAATGTGGACAAGTGCTTATTTGATCGCAGTCCTAGTGATCTTAACATAACTGTTATTAATTCTTTGCATATCTACTACACTGAAACTACTAATACTCGTATTTCAACCATTAAACAGATCTCTTCGGTTATGAGAAGGTTTAAGTGTCCCAAGAGCGAATATATAGTTTCGGCTTCCTAAAAAATATCATTGTTTGTGTGAGAGAATATTACATATTATTAATTTGGCTATTTTTGGACTTTCCTTAGCTTATTAGATCCGAGCTGAGTGAAAAGTAGGACTCTTTGAGCAATGAGTATAGAATATACAATTATTAGGTTTATTGCATTTTAATTGAAACTACAAAGCTCTTATACTAGCAGCTAAAAACATTTCCTATTATACGGGAGTTAAGTTATGTCACTGAAATTATAGTCGAAGAGAGTTTTTGTTCAAATTACAGAATATAATGCATGAATAGTCTGTGAGTGTACCTTAATAGCTATATGAACTTACTTTGGAATATCAATTCTCTGTCAACTAGTTCTCTACGAAGAAGACTTCTTCAAAGGTAGTTCGTATATACAATAGTTTAAAATTATGAAAATATATCAATAGAAACCATAAGAATTTTTAAATAACATTGTACCATTGAGAAACCGTACCATTAGCATAACCCAGTAATGCCCTTAAAACAAAATATAAACTTCAATACCATTTTTTGTTACATTTTTGTTTATATAAAATTCTGAATTCGAGTACATGTTTTTAATTCTGTAAATTGCTATTAAAACTACAATATATACATTGCTATTAAAACTACAATATATACATTGATAAGTGGGCCACAGCCTCGATAATACATACAGTGATACACACAATGTCCTTTCTAACCGAGTTGGCAAGACATCTTTGTTTTATTGCCAAAATCGGCCAAGCTGACGGTCCACAAAAAGCTTAAGTGCACTCTTCCAAAGCGTTGTGTTGTCGTGGGCAGCAGCAGCTGACAGTTGTCAAACAGAAGAGTTTTCATTTATTTTTCAGTTTTTGCTTTCATTCGAAATTAAGATAAATTGTTTTGTGGTTTTGAAAATTGACAGAGCATATTTAATGCGTTTTCAAGGTACTTCTTAAAAGTAAAATGAAAAAAGAATAAACTACATATTTATTATGAACGAGTATAGGTTAGTACTTAAGATTATTCACATTATTATTCTGATTTTTTATTACTTTAATAGCTTTATTTGTAAAGAGGCTAAGAGAAAATGGCAGTGTTAGATATGGAGATATAATTTGGTAATTTGGTGTTTACATTGAATTCTTTATAGTCCTTTCTTAATCGACGCATTGCCTAAAATTAATGAAAATAAGTATGCGTATAAGTAATTGTCTTTGAGTTTTACTAAAACAATTAAAACCTGAGCTTCGAGACGGTACATATCGATTTCCTTTAATTTGATTATTTTTTAGCTGCGTATTCTAAATTTGTAAACTAATTTATTATTATTATATATCATCATTGGATTTATTATATTACTATACGTATCAGTAAAAATTAGATGGATGAAGAAATGTCGGCTCGTTCGGTGCATGGCCTCTCTACTCAATCAGAGAGTTTCCAAATATCTAGATATATTCGGGGTACTTTTTGAGTT